ACATGCTTAGATGACTGATCAGGAATAACATTGATTTAAAGAAGGGCTTTGATCATAAAAACTGAAGTACAGACAGAGCACAGTGGCAGGCGGGACTCAGAGAAGAGAGAGGCACAGACAGGCATAAGTCTAGACAGGTCATGTTCACAGGCTATTCTTAGTCTGGAGACCTGGTCCCACCACCATGTTTCAATACAACACTAGGCACCCAGCAAGGGTGGGAAGCAGCATCAAGGGAGCGAAAGACGTTGCAGAATCAAGCATGGATGAGAACAATTACTGGTTGCATGATCTTGTGTGAATTACTTGAATTACTTAACCTTTTAGAGCCTCCAATTCCTTATTTATAAAATAGGATGAAAATATTTACCTTGTATATTTGTTATGGAGATTAATTGGAGCAATGTTTACAAAATACCTTGCATATAGTAGATGCTTAAAAACGTAGTTCTCTTGGCCTCCCCACTGTGTAAATTAATTCATATCATTGAGAGAGCTCTCACTCATTCAGCTACGTGACTAATCAAATCCTGACACTAAAGGGCTTGGTTCTCGTCCAGCTTCCTTCAAGCTGTGGAGTGCGGAGTGGGGAGATAGGAAAAAGAAAGGAGGGAACTAAATATTATGGTATATTCTAAATCATATAGTGGAGTCTAAATCCCATTTCATTATATACCACATTACATGGTGTTAAATTCTTTAATTTTTATACCTTTGTAGCAACTTTGTGAGAACAGTATTCTATGGTTTCTTTTGTAAATAAGGACTCTTGGGCAGAATTTGGGAGATCTGAGCGAGGTTACAGATCTCCTGCCACAAGAGCCAGGATTGGAACGTGCTGAGTCTGAAAGCTTGCACATTTCTCACTCTACATTGTGCAGCCTCTGCAAAGATTGGCCTTAACACAAGTGAAGTTCCCAAAGGAGGAGACTTGTCATCTACACAATAGCTTTTTTTTTTTTTTTTCCTTTTCCTGGGGTGGATAAGAGGGCTCTATTTGTGGGGAATAGTTTGGGAGGATTTACATCCTCTTTGAATTTGGAAGGGCTGAATCATTCATGCATGGAATTTAGTCATCCTTCTTTATTTTAGACAGGAGAGACTTCTGGGCCCCTGAAAAGTTGTTTGACACCCTAAGATCATTCAGCTGGTGACATTTTGGCATTTTAGCTATTTCAGTTCAATAGTCCTTCAGTGTTTCTCTGATGCCTCAGGCATTTCCTCCTTTGGCTTTTTTTTTTTTTTTAATTGAATCCATGATTCAATCCTACTAGCAGCAATAGTGATTTTTTTCTCAGTAATATGACCAGTAAGAGACACACACACATGCACGCATATCTCCCCTTGGATAGCTAATTGTCACCTCGATTTTGATATGATCAAAATAGAACTCTTAATTTCCCTGCCTCAAATCTGCCCACCTTCCCCTACGGTCTTCCCTTCTTAATAAATGGCAACTCTAGGACATGAACCTCAGCTATCTTCAACTTCTGCCTCTCTATGGAAATTGACACCCAGAGGTCTGTCAGTCCTGTCTTTGAACTGTTGCAAAGTGGAGGCACTGAAATCTCTCAGAAACATCTTTTGCCTGGGCTACTCTGATAACCTCCTGAATACTTCTCTCTCTCCTTCCTCCGGATTTCTTTGTTCCCATTCTTTTCAGAGGAGCCAGACCCGTCCATTCACAAGGGAAGAGGCAAAGTCTGGATGGTGGTTGCCCACACCCTGCTTGATCCAAACTCTGATGACATCATCGCTGACTTTTCTCTCACACCCTCTTTGCTCTAGCACACCAACCACTTTAATACCTCCAACATGCTAACAAACTGCCACCCCAGGGCTTTTCTACTTGCTAATCTTTCTGCGTAGAATTCTCTTCTCCGAGATAGACAAATAGCTTCTTTCTACACCTTGACATTTCTGCTAAAATAATCACCTGGTCACAAAGTCTTTCTTGACCACTCACTATAAAATGGCAACCCTATCCCCGTACTTCAGCTCCCTTTCCTCCATAGCACTGATCACAGCTTAATACTGTATAAGTTTGTTTATTGTTTTCCTCACAACACCCTCCATCTTGCTTTGCATGTATGGTCCATGAGGCAGAGTTTTTTCTCAGATTTGCTTACCGTTGGAATCACGTTTGGCTTGAGCCAGGAATTCAGTTCATATTGGTTGAATGAATAAATTGATGTTAATATTTATGACAGAAATTGTCATTCTTGTAGATTGAGTCAAGGTTCTTAAGTATATTCATTTTAACTATTTTTTTTCTTTGATTGCTCTTCCACCCCTGACCCCTGGCTTTATTACAAGTAACTGTGGCTTTGGTAAGAAATACTCTCAATTTTGGGGAATAGCAATTTCAACAGTAAAACATTAGTATTGAATGGATAATATGAACAAGTCATTTCTGGAAAAATATTGTGAAATAAAATACATCTCCTTAGAGCACATTTCCTTGGTGTAGAATATTTCCTTATTCCCATGCAACACTAGATTCTGTTGCATGTATTTGCTTTAGAATTTCATGTTTATTATATTTGGGAAGCCAGAACTGAATAAAAATGAAAACCTTTTCTAATGCTATCAACAGATAGGTTATCAAGAATTTTTAATCTATTTTTAGTAAGTTTATGGGGCGCCTGGGTGGCGCAGTCGGTTAAGCGTCCGACTTCAACCAGGTCACGATCTCACGGTCCGTGAGTTCGAGCCCCGCGTCAGGCTCTGGGCTGATGGCTCAGAGCCTGGAGCCTGTTTCAGATTCTGTGTCTCCCTCTCTCTCTGCCCCTCGCCCGTTCATGCTCTGTCTCTCTCTGTCCCAAAAATAAATAAACGTTGAAAAAAAAAAAATAATGTGTAGTAGAACCGTTCTCTTTTTTTCTTCCTGATTTAATTCCCATTGACCATCATTTGTGCTGCAAAGATGAAGCTCTATACTTTAGCTTGTCTTTCAGACAAACTAAGACTGTTGTATTGAATTCCGAAGCATGTGCACTTGGAATTAGAAGTCCACTGTCAGTGGAGAGAACCTGTGGTAGCCGTCTCTCACCTCCTCTTCTGTGATGTGCTACAGCTAATCCCAGCCAAACTACTTGAAATGCTTGTTACTGCTGCAATCTCAATGAATTTAGAGTGGTAATCAATTAACAGTAAATAGGTTTCTTTGTCAATTTGGAAGCATCCCAATGAAGGTAAAGAGAAAGTGGAATAAGGTGATAAATAATTTATAGCTGGAGAGAATCCTTAATTCCTTCAGCCCACTCATAGGTTCTACATTATTTTTTAGGGGTAACATGAGACCAATAACCAGAAACCTGGGACACAAATTAACTCTGTTTAAGAAAGAGATTTTTAAACTGAGGGATGTGCCGGTTTTGCTGCTTACACCTGGATTTTATACAAATGATGCAATTGCAAAAGGGCCACTTGTCTGTGACCCTCCTGAGGTCTCTTTTTTTGCCATGTCTCTTGTTATCTTGATTTTCCTCTTGATCTCTCCTCCAGGATTATTTTCAGACTTGCTTGCATCTCATTTTGTACCAGTAAAGTGCATGTGTTAGTGCACACACGCACGATTGCTGTTTGTATCCTCCTCTGGTAACTCTTTTTCTATGTCTCTCAGGGTCTCATCTTGGCTAGGCTTTCCTTTTATTTGTATCTTGACAGCTTGGAGGTGGTTATTAGGACATTTAGAGCTCTGAGGCTTGGATGCCCAGCATGGATGTAATTCCCCATTCGTTACCTGTCTTCCTTCCCCTGCTCTGCCTAGGTATGGGTAATAAAGGCCTGTCTTCCCAGGCTCAATTCCTAGGCCGAAGGGGAATGGGTCGTAATGTTTCAGCAGCTCCTTCCTCCCCAGTGACATCTGGGGATAGTGACTTCACAATGCAGTTTTCCCACCCTCATGATGCACTGATAAAGTCAGGCTGCTGACAAGGAGGTCTGGCTTCTTGGTGTTCTCCTTAATCTTCTGCCCCAGTGCCTAAGTCGAGAGGCTAGCCCTAACTGTTGACTATGGCTCTGGGTCACCCTTTTAGATCCTGGCGGCCCCTTAACAGGGTTTGCATCCCACTTTTGGTTATTTTTGTTTTACATTGTCCTATGTGGACTTTCCTTATCTGGAGCTCTTATATACATCATATTGAGAACTGCCCCCACCTTGAACTTCCTCACTCCACCTTTAGAGTTTGACCTCTATACCAAGTTGAAAAATGAGAACTCCCTGGTCCAACTGAACTTGGTGGTTTTGTATTCTAGAAGAGGGACAGCTCTTTCGTTTTTTCTAGATCTACTCATTCTATGCTAGTTTTAGTGATCTGAGAGCTTTGGGGATTTGGGAGTGGGATTAGGTCTCCATGCTAGTGCATGTCCAATAAAAAAATCACCACCACCCCTAGAAACAGAAGTAGATTTATGTGAAGCTAAAGAATCTTAAATTTCCAGGTCTTTGTTTGCATGGGCCCCTTCCGATGCCCTGGCAGGGGCTTCAGCAATGTGTTCACAGAGACATATGATTTTGTAAATTTGCAAAAGTAAGATATTTTAACTGCAACCAATGATACCCATTGTGTCATTTCACTCCATCTTCCAATCTGTCGTATTTCTACTCATGTCGCAGTGGGCCAGGACGTATTTTTGATCTGGCTAAGTAGAATGTGAGTGAGATACATTTAGTTGCAGTTTACTGGCACAGATTTATGTGCATAGCAATTACTTCTATGAGTAAGCCATGGCTAGTAGGCAGCCTTGAAGGTGCAAAGCTCAGATATCCCTTCAAGAGAACCTGTTGCCATACTTCCTCCAGCCTCCTCACCTTCAGCATCACACCAAAACCGTGCTTTCCCAGGGCTGCCCTAGCCAATGAGTCTGCACGGTCTGAGTTCTAGAGCCGGCCCATTTCTGCCAATTGCAGAATAAGCTGTCTTTGCCCTGGAGCCTCGACTTTCTCAGAGCTGACCTGCAGCCAGTTCTCCTCCATTCTGTCTTTCTTTCTGCAGGTGTCAGGTCCTCCTCACATTCGAAGGGTTCTATCTTCTGTCCTTTCTCTTTTTTATCTTCTATGGGCATTCTCCCTCAAGAAATCTCTTGTACATCGAATTTCAACCTGGTGTCCACCTCAGAGGACACGAACTGACACCATTAAAGATTTCACAGGTGAGTTTGTGTCAGCTCTTTCTTTAAACTGAAGTTTGGCTAATGGGTCTGATGCTAATGATATTCACCCACATCATATTGCCTTTTTATATGCCTAGTGCTCCATCAACCAATCTTTGACTCCTTAACCCGAATTTCAGATTGCGGCCATCTAGTTTTAGTCACTTGCCAGCACCTTGCAATATTTTCCACCTCCCCTCCTGACTTCAGAGCGTTTTTGCCAATGTTCTCATCCACTACCACCCTACCTACATACCACACGCTACCCATACAGATTCTCTCATTCCTAGGGCAAACCTTTGCTTATTATCTTTTCCCTGTCTGAAATACCTTTTGCCCCAACTAGACGTAGGCATATTTCTTATTAATTATTTTGCTGATATGACATTGACAACAGAAACATAAAACTTGTAATATACTATACCAATGAGGGCATCTGTGATAAACTAGTAAATAAGCATCATTAATTCAAAAAAGCATGTAAGATTAATCATTGTTCCAGAAAACTTGGAATGTCCTGAAGTATTATAGGCTATTTATGAAGGAAACTTGATATTTTCTCAAATTTGACAATTATAAAATTAACTATTACCAAATGAGTCGTGAAGCTTATAGAAACTTTTCCAAAATGCTATTATTATTATTATTATTATTTATTTATTTATTTTTACTGAACCATACTAGAGAAAAGACTTACTTATTATCTATTTTCTATTGAATTTGTTGTCCCCAAATTTCATATGTTGAAGCCCTAACCATCAATATGACTGTATTTGGATATAGGGCCTATGGGAAGGCAAATAAAATAAAAATGAGGTCATAAGAATGGGTTGGTAGGATTTGCATCCTCATGAGAGGAGATATCACAGAGCTTGCTCTCTCTTTCTCTTGTTTCCTGTCCTGCCTCTCAGCCATGTAAGGACACAGTGAGAAGGCAGCTAGCTGAAAGCCAGACAGAGGGCTCTCACCAGAAACCAAGCCCTGTCAGAACCTTGATTTTGGGCTTTATAGCCTCCAGAACTGTGAGAAAATTTCTGTTGTTTAAGCCACTCCATCTAAAGCATTTTGTTAAGGCAGCCCAAGTTGACTAAGGCACTATCTTTCCCTTCTTTCTACAGATCAGTGATTTTCAACTGGGTGTGATATTTTTCCTCACAGGGAATATTTGACAGTGTCTGGAGACATTTTTGATGGTCACAACTGGGGGGATGCTACTGGCATCTAGTGGGTAGAGGCCAGAGATGCTGCAAAAATACCTATAATTCATAGGGCAGGCTGTCTCCTCTTCCCCCCTCCCCCCAGCTGCTCCCACCAAAGAATTGCCTGGTGCAAAATGGCAATAGTGCAAAGATTGCAAAGCCTGATAAACCATGCTATAGAAAATCATATAAAATCATGTCTTATGGAGAGGTGATTAAAAAGGATATAGCCAATTATATGGAAAAAGGTATTATAGGAAGATGTTAAGTGGGTAATAAATATATTTTCTAGGTTTTGTTTGTGATGTTTTCATATTTTTAAAACTTATAATTTATACATTCTTCTTTTCCTGAGTAAAAATTTAGTTCTAAACCTGATTTGGTACTCTTTTTTATAAGACATTCCTCAAAATTTTATAATCTTCAGCTCCCCAAATCCTGAATTCACCCAGTTTACTATTATGATTAAACACTTATATACAACACTAGTAAATTTTTATTTCATTATGAGTCTGGACCTCAACATTATAATTTTATTTTTTTGAGTATAGTCTGCCCATCTAAAAATGCTTAGTAAAGTTTAAGGTAAAAGAACATTTTTATAAGTGGAATAAATGCTGTCATTATTGTATATGTAGGCAAGAGATTTGGCCTTTTGCACTAAATCCTCTTTGCCCTTTGCAGAAGATTTTCCTAAGCTGTTAAATAATAGAGCATTCATGCAGTGTATCTTGGGGTCTCTTCTTTAGTGGTGTATGTTCACATGGGAGTCGTCCGTAACTCACCCACATCTTTCACCCCAGTCCTGAAAATTAATTAACACATCATGCCAGTTTTGAAATTTCTCACATATTTCTCGTGATCTCATTATTTTATTTAGGGCCTCCTTCATGCTTCCATTGGACAGCTGAACGGTTTCCTTTGTGGATCACCCAATTCTACTTCGTAGTCTACACAGGTACCCAGATGGTCTATGACCAATCTTTCTATCAAGGTCATCTATCCATCTGAGCATTGTCATTGTATGTTTAAAACCATTCAATGACTTTCCATTTGTATTTCTGTTTGTATCAGAACTTGTTCTTCAGAAGAAATCTCCAGCAGAAGCCCAATGAATGACATTGATCCAACTGCATCAGGTAAAGGGCCAGAGCCTCCCCTCCTTAAACCATCTTTTACCCCATATCCTTCTCTGTGGTCCCTGGGGCACCTTCATGGTACACATGTATGACTGGAATGACAGTAATAATTTATCATGCAAACAAGCATACTTCTGAGAGTGAATGGTAAGATGATTGCTAGTTATGCTGGGATAATAGGTGAAAAGTGAGGCTGTCCTGGGCATACTGGAATGTATGAACGCTTAGTGTTTATTAAAATATAATTTGCAGATCTCATCTGCAAATCAATCCAATCAACTTGGCTTGCAGATTTCTGGGCCACAATCTGTATCCAGGGAATCATAATCTTGAGCACACGGGAAGTGCACAGGGTGGCTCTAGAAGGACAGTTGCCACTGCTCTATAGCAACCTCAAACTGATTTGCTAACCCTTTCTGGCTGTCCCAACCATGTCCTGTGTTCTCCAAACACCACTGATTGTAGAGATTGTCTTTGTGTACATTGCTTTTTCTTTCTGGACAGCTTTCGTTTTCTATTTCAGAGACTGTCAACCTCTCTGGGACCCATTTCTGTGCCCCTCAGGCAGAGTTGAGTGCATTCCTCTATCGTCCAATAGAACATAATGCATTTTATTGCTGACCTTATCTTTTTTTTTTTTTTTTTTTTTTAAAGTTTATTTTATTTTTGGGACAGACAGAGACAGAGCATGAACGGGGGAGGGGCAGAGAGAGACGGAGACACAGAATCGGAAGCAGGCTCCAGGCTCCGAGCCATCAGCCCAGAGCCTGACGCGGGGCTCGAACTCAACGGACCGCGAGATCATGACCTGGCTGAAGTCGGACGCTTAACCGACTAAGCCACCCAGGCGCCCCTGCTGACCTTATCTTAATGGATTATTGTTACACTATTTTATGTATCTTTTTTTTTTTTTCATTAAATCGTGAGCTTCTCAAGGGTAGGGACAATGTATTACTAATTTCAGAACATATCCCATAACTTGGCACATAATAATTGCCCAGTAAGTGGTTGATGAATAAATACGTTTAACCTCCAACTATCCAACAATTTATTTTTACTGAGTGATTATATTATTATGTTGTTTAGAAAAGTATTTAAATGAATGTATGGACATTAAAGTTTTAAATCCAATAAATATGTTTGAACGTCTTATCATAAGGCATTTTTGAATCAGAAGGGGTGTAGAAATCCCTTAGATTTCTACATTTTACAGATGAGAAACTGAGGCTCAGAGCAACACATCAAAAATAGAGCAAAGATGCATCTCTAGATCTGAGGTGACAACAAAAGGCTATGTTCCTTACACTTTTTAAATCCCTTCCCTAAGAGGTAATGCCTGGCACAAATACTGGGGCTATGTACTGAATAACATTATTATGTCATAATGTTATCGGTTGGATTCCTTAGGAAGAAGAGTCTGAGATGGAATTTAGCTGGCAGGATGTTTATTAAGGAGCACCTTCTAGATGAACACCTGTGCAATAGAAGGGAAAAAAAGCAGGACTGGGCAGAGAAAGAGGTTGAGCTTCAATACGGTCCTAACGGTGGTCTCTGTTGATCCCAAAAGAGCTCCAGAGCCAGAATAGCCCTTCGTGTGGTCCTTAGCTGAGTTAGGATGGCCAGCACTTCATATCCCTGTGTTGAATGAGGGCCAATCTAGAAAAGGTGTGACCTTGGATGAGGCACTTCTCTGCATTTGCAGTAATTCCTCATAGGCTGAGAGTCAAGGGCTGTCTACTGGTAGCACTCCTAGCATCTGGGCATCAAGCTGTTCCTTGAAGGGAGAATCTAGGCAACAGAGCACAGTGTTTCCACAGTAAGCTTTCCTAAGGACAGATTTTTATATGGATACAGATGAGGATTCAGGTCTGAATCAGGTAAACTCAGTTAACAGAGGAGCTGGGGTTGTCAGTTGGGTCTCAGTTCACAATGCAGTTGTGTGTATAGTGATACATAGTAGCAAATTTATGAGAGCCTTCTGAAATTCTGAAATTCTTGCTGTGATCTTTTAGAGACTTTCTTTGTCTGGGGCGCCTGGGTGGCTGGGTCCGTTGGGTGTCCGACTTTGGCTCAGGTCATGATCTCAGGGTCCATGAGTTTGAGCCCCGCGTCGGGCTCTGTGCTGACAGCTCAGAGCCTGGAGCCTGTTTCAGATTCTGTGTCTCCCTCTCTCTCTGACCCTCCCCCATTCATGCTCTGTCTCTCTCTGTCTCAAAAATAAATAAACGTTAAAAAAAAATAGAGATTTTCTTTGTTAATATGTTGGAATATATGTAGAATTTTAGTGAATTCCTTTTAGCATGTATTGCTGAAAGTTTTTCCTTTTCAATTATTATTTGATATCTTAAACTTCTTAATATAAAATAAGCTTTTCTTATATTACAAAAATGAATCTTGGAGTCATGGTGAAAATTTTGAAAATATGTTGAAATAGATTTCCTAAGATTTTACTTAAAATTCTTTAAAAAAAAATTAATGTTTATTTATTTTTGAGACAGAGAGAGACAGAGCATGAATGGGGGAGGGTCAGAGAGAGAGGGAGACACAGAATCTGAAGCAGGCTCCAGGCTCTGAGCTGTCAGCACAGAGCCCGACATGGGGCTCAATCTCACGGCCCGCGAGATGGTGACCTGAGCTGAAGTTGGACACTTAACCGACAGAGCCACCCAGGCACCCCTTATTTAAAATTTTCAAATGCATATGTATATGTGAAGTTGGCCTGAATTCCTATTTTGCCTATTTTTATATTTAGATATTAAGATTATGCAAAAAATTATAAAATAAGCTGGAAAGCTAATCATGTATTTTTATTCTATACAGAAGGATTTATAAAGTATGATACTTTATTATTTTAATTTGGTACATTTTTGCCAAATGATTCGCTGATTAACTTTTAAATTCTTCCCATGATTTCTGAGTCTTCTGGGTCGATTTCACTAACTGCATTTCCTAGGAAAAAAATGTATAGTATGTTGATATTTTTAGAGTGTTAGCATAGGCTGATACATAGTATTATTTTTAATCACCTCTGTACTGTACCATATACCCTTTCTCATTCTAAATTTCTGTATTCGGATTTTATTTTAAATTACTCTTTTTTGGAAAATAGTTATTTAGATTGATTTCTTTTATGTCCAAAGAACTGCTTCTTACATTAATTCTACTTTTTAATTTTTATTTTAAATTGTTAATTTATACATTTAAAAATGAATTAGTTTCTTCTGATTTTCTTAACATTGCTTTGTTGTACCTACTTTCTAATTTGTGTAATTCAAGATTCAGTTAGCCTTTTTCTCCTTTTTTTGTACAAAAATGTTCATATTTATTCATAACAGCAAAAAAAATGGAAACAATCAAAATGTTCATCAATAGGCACATGGCTAAACAGATTCTGGTGCATCGACACCATGAAACAGCACCCAGAAGAAAAAAAGAGGAATGGACTATTGATACATGTAAAGACCTGGATAGATCTTGAGATAATTATGTCAAGTAAAAAAAGTCAACCTACTGTATGATTACATAACATTATCAGAATAACTAAATTATAGAGATGGAAAACAGATTAGTGGTTGCCAAGGGGTGAGGGATGGTGGCAGAAAGGGGAATGGGCGTGACCAAAAAGAGGTAGAAGGAGGGAGATCTTTGTAGTAATGGAATAATTCTGTATCTTGATTGTTGTAGTAGTTACACAAATCTACACATGTGATAATATAACAATATAACTACATATATTCATTGCCTCAATGTAATTTCCTGGTTTTGATCGTGTGCTATAACTAGGGACAGCATACCTTTGAGGGAAATGGAGTGAAAGATACATGGGACCTCTTTTTACTATCTTTGCCACTTCATGGAATCCATAACTCTTCTTTGTAAATAATAAAAGCATTTTCAATCAAGATGAATCGTTCTTTTCAGTAACATTGACCACTTTCCAGGTGATTGGTATGCAGTTTTATCCTTAGTGCTACTTTAAAACCTTGATGCAATTGTTATTCTAATGTTTTAACATAAGCTATTTATGAGGTTAATATAAATTTTTCAAACATTTGAAATTTTTTGTTTAATGTTTTGACATTAATTTGTAGGGTTGTCATTATTGTTGTTTTTGAATTGTTTTCAAAGAATGTATACCGTAGAATTTCTGAAGTTTTCTTTTAATTTATTTATACTTTTTAAAAAGGGTCTCATATGTACTATTGTTGCAAAAGTTCCATGCAAAACTTTTTGCAAGTTTCCACTTGAGAAAGAAGTGCATTATTTCTGTTTTCCATATACAGTTCAATATAAATATGTTAAATAATATTATTAAATATTTAGAATTTATTAAATAATTTTTAATCTTATTTACTTTTTAAAGCCTATAAATGTATTAAAATCTGTACCTCCTACTGTATTTCTAATATTTCTTTTTGTATTTTTAACAGTTTTTGCTTCCTGTATTTTATATTATGAAGTATAAGTGACTCTAGTATCATTATTATAGATTGTATCTTCATACAAAAATAAAATATTGCATATTTAATTTTTGTTGAAATCTACTTTTTTGTTAGTAATATAATTTGGCAATTTCTTTTTCCTTGGGTTTAATTGCTGCATTTTGTCCAAATATTTACTTGTAATTTTTTTGTCATTTTACTTTAGGGAGGCTAGCTTTTGTTTTGTAATCAAGTCTAAGGGTTTTTAGCATAGGTGTTTATTTTTATAAATGTTATGTTTGATTTCATTTTGTTATATTGTTTGGAGGTTTCTGTAAATTCTATTTTGATGTTTGCATGCTTTGCCTTTTTAAAGACTATTCTTTGCTCTTTCTTTGTTCAATTTTTTTTTTTTTTTGGCTTAACAATTTTCAAGAACCCTCCCCCACCCCTGCTGAAACAGTATTTTATTTTATTTTAATTTATTTACATTTTAATGTTTAGTTATTTTTGAGAGAGAGAGTGAGTCAGAGAGGGGCAGAGAGAGAGAGTGGGGTAGAAGATCTGAAGCAGGCTCTACTCTGACAGTAGCAAGCCTGATGTGGGCTGGAACTCTTGAACCTTGAGATCATGCTGTGAGCCCAAGTCAGACCCTCAACTGACTGAGCCACCCAGGTGCCCCCATAAGCAGTATTTTAGAGGTTACTTTTAAAATTTAAAATTAAAAAATGGGGGGGGTGGGGGTGCCTGGGTGGCTTAGTCAAGCATTCAACTCTTGATTTTGGCTCAGATCATATCTCCTGGTTTGTGAGTTTGAGTCCCATGCTGGGCTCCATGCTGACAGCTCAGAGCCTGCTTGGGATTCTCTGTCTCCCTCTCTCTCTGCTCCTCCCTTGCTCATCTCTCTCTCTCTCTCTCTCAAAATAAAGAAATCAACAAAAAAATTTAAATAGCCTATTTGAACATGTATTTTGCTGATCATCAATGTCATGAACTAGAAGCTGCTGCTACTCAGCTGCACTAAGTACCCATTTTTATTTACCTTTTTTTCATATAATATGGGGTTTTTGGATAGATATTATTAAATTATTACATATTAGCATTAATAAGCTATTCTTTCCCAATCATTGTTCATATTTTATTTTTGTTTCACAATTATTACTATATTTAAGTGAATTCAGTGCTTGGTGTGCATCTTTTTATACTAC